CAAGCAATGTTCACATTTCCCCTTGTTTTAATCTGGCAACGACAGATAAGAAACAGCCTGTTTGTTCTCAACTCTCCAAAACGCATGACTAAATTCAATGGAGAAAAGAAGACAGACTTCCAAAAGTTCCATGGGAATCTAGGATTGGCCCAGAATGGCACAGATGATGGGAATGAATCTGTAGAAAGTTCTACCATTAAAGACATCTGGTAAATGATTCATTAGCCTCTGCTTGGTTGCCAGAAAGAGTCCGTCAGCCAAGTTCCTTAATATGAAGGCAGAAGTAGATCTAGTTACATAGATTAGGGAAAGGGAAGAGAAGAACATGTAAACCTTGGGCAAGAAAAAAATGTATTTTACAAACATAAATCTATTGTATTTTGTAATGTATTATGTATTTTGAAAATACGTAAATGTATTTTCTCCTTACTGTTCCCGAGGACACGTATTTGCCAGTTCCAGGGCTTTAAGCATGAAACTAATAAAAAATCAAAGGGCTACGCTGATCACATTTTCTGTGGCTCTTCTCAGCTCCTCCTCCCACTGAGAGGTTTTCCAAACTGAAATCAGGAGGCGGAAATCTTGCCTGATCGAGCATGAGGCCTCTAGCTCAACAGAGCCAACAACGAAGGCACGTGGGATAGAAAACAGAGCCAAGTCATGTGCCAGGAACCGGCGGGAGGCTCTGTAGCTGTTCCTAAGCCAGTAGAGCCCTGGGTTCCAGGCTCTCAGTCCTGCTGGGACTAGGACCGGAACCAGAAAGTGCCCAGGCACTGACATACCCTTTCGGGAGAACGCATTCTAAGGATCTCACAATTCTTTACAAATCAGTTGTTCAGATTAGTCAACACCAACTCTGTGCCCCTCACTGTGATGAGCAAAGTGAAGTACTTTGGCTCATCAATGAAGAGGGGAGCCAAGAACCCCCAGGGAGACAGTGAATGATTCTTCATAGGACCCCAGGGGACCTGTGACAAATGTCCTATGTTGCCAAGCCTGTGGACACATCATGAAAGCTCCGTGCTCCAGAGCCATCTTCCTCTTCACCAGAGAGCAAGACACTGTGTACAAGGCTCTGGTGCCAACCAAGCTTTTCACTTGGTGCCCTGGCCCTGGGGCAGCTGAGAGCTGCTAAAACAGGCAGCGGTTTTCCAAACACTCCAAGGCAGCGACAGGCTCTAGAAATTGCCTAGAGGCTTCTGACATGTGTCTGGCCGGTCCAGGGTGGTTCTCCGGGAAAGAGGCCAGGCTGTCGCTCAGAAGCCGGCAGAGTGCAAGCCAGACTTCCAATGCCCAGTAATGGCATTTTCATACCAGGAATGAGGGAGGAGGGGACAAGAGCAACCGGGGTGACGTCTTTCGCTACACTGCTCTTGCACCGTGCGTGGAAATCCCTCCCGAAATGCAGGGGTTTAGTAAGAAGATTCTGATGCTTCTTCCCCCGGAAGTAGGAGATCCTGGGCCCTAGAGCGGATTGGGTTTGAAGTTAAGGCCTGATGTGACTCAGGCGGCTGAAGATACGAGTCACGAGCTGCGGCAGCCTTTGGGTTATTTAATGATCTTTGTATGAAGGTGCAGAATGGACCATGCATTTTACACTTTTGGGTGTTTCTTAATGTTTACTGGGAAATAATTTAAATATTATAATTTTGTTGAATTCTACAAATGCATACTACAGAAGTTGTCATTATAAGGAATTTACATTATTTGAAGTTTGACAATATGAAGATATAAATAGCATTTTTTTAAAGATTTTATTTATTTATTTGACAGACAGAGATCACAAGTAGTCAGAGAGGCAGGCAGAGAGAGAGGCTCCTTGCTGAGCAGAGAACCCGATGTGGGGGCTTGATCCCAGGACCCTGGGATCATGACCTGAGCCGAAGGCAGAGGCTTTAACCCACTGAGCCACCCAGGCGCCCCCCACTGTGAATAACTTAAAAAGCAACATACAAAATGTATATTTTTCTTAAATCTTGAGAGCATCAAAATAGTGCGAAAAAATATCCAGGAAAAGATGAAAATTTAAAGAGGCAGGCTCAACGTTGGGATCACTTTTATCAAAGATGTTTATCAAGGCCAAGGAAGCATCTGAGAAGCTGCACATCACTTGAGTAGCTGAGGGGGTCAAAAGTCGAAGTCCGGAGCCCACCAAGGAGGGTGCTCTGGTGAACCTCTACATCTTGTGCTCTACAGAAATAAACCAGTCTTGAAAGGACTACAGTCCAGCTTTGAGCCATCTGGGCTTCCCAGAAAAATCTCAAGCCCTGAAAATGGACTAAAATGATCCTTGATTAGGCACCTGGGTGGCTCAGTAGGTTAAATGGCTGATTCTTGATTTCAGCTCAGGCAGTAATCTCAGGGTCACTGGATCAAGCCTTGCATCAGGCTCTGCACTTAGCGATGAGTCTGCATCAGGATTCTTTTTCCCTCTGCCCCCCTCCCCACTTGCACACGCTCTCTCTTAAAATAAGTAAATAAATCTTTTAAAAAATGATCCCAGATTGTAATCTCCCAGGTACCTGACAGAAACACCCAAACTTTCTTTAGCAGAAAAGATCATCACCATAGGTCTTCAATTATTTCTACAAACAAATGTTTGAATATAAAGTTCATCATGCAATCAAAAATGACCAGTCACACAAGGAGAGAAGAAAAAACAATAAAAACAGATCCAAAGGCTCAAGTTTGGAAAGATCAGATACATATTTTATTTATTTAAATTTTAAAATAATCCTTTTATTTTTAAATTTTATTTTATTTTTTCAGTGTCCCAAGATTCATTGTTTATGCACCACATCCAGTGCTCTGTGCAATACATGCCCTCTTTAATACCCACTTTAAAATAACTATGTTTATGATGCTTGAGAAAATAAAAAGTGTATTACAAACTGTGTTGTAACTGAAGCTTCTAAAAAGTGACAGAGCAGATTTGAAAAGAACAAAATGGAAATTTTAGAACTTAAAAATGCAATAACTGGAAGAACTCAATGGATGAGTTTGAGAGCAGACTGAACATATCTGAAAAGATAATTTGTGAACTGTAAGATAGGTTTGGAATGAAGTATGGAAAGGCAAAATCTGGAATTAATAGAAGAGACCAAGGGAAACAGGATACAGAGGAAGTTTTCTAACACTGGAATCTCAGAAGGAAAAGTGAGCCAAAATGATTTCAGAAATAATGGCTAAGGATTTTCCCATGAATCCATAAATTCATGAAGTCCTAGGAACCTCAGGCAGAAAAAAAAAATAAGACATCCACATCTGAGACCATCATATTAAAACTACAGAAAACTTAAGATAAGAAAAAAATCTTAAAAGCAGTCAACAATAAAAGATTACCTTTAGAGGAACAACAGTTAATATAATTACTGACTTATCAACGGCAACAATGGAAGCCTGGAGACAATGGGATCTATCTTCAAAGGAAAGAAAAAACACTATCAATGCAAAATTCTATTCCCAGTAAAAATATCCTGTAAGAATGAGAAAGAAATAAAGCATCTTTAGACAAACAGAAACTAAGAGAATTCTTTACTAGCAGATCCACATCTAAGAAGATACCAATGAGTATTCTTTAGGCAAAAGAAAAGTAATCCCAGATGGAAGGTCCGAGATGCAAGAGGAAAGGAAAGGAATTAAAGTGGAGAAGTCAGCAGGAAGAATTCTGTACAAGGACATGCTGTGGAAGAGCTACATGGAATTGACCGACAGGGCGAAGATATCTTGCCCCAATACAAGTCAGAAAATATATGTGGCAATCTTCTGAAAGAAAATAGTTAAATCCTATTTTTGCACAGAATATATTTTTTACTATTTTGGGGTAGAGGAAAATAAGATGCCATGAAGAAAAAAATCAACAGATTCTACATGATTTTTTAAATACAAATGACCAAAGCTACTGACAAAGTAGTAGCTGAGAAAATATTTACAATAGTTTATCAGCTATGATCAGGTTTAAAACATGTGGAATGTGATCTAGGGGTAGAAAGAGATAGGGTAGAGGGTTCTTTTGAGGTATGGGGTATTATTAAACCACATACTTATTATTAATTGATAAAAATAGATAATTAAGAAGAAAAAGCAAGAGAACTAAGTGTTTGATGAATACAGAGTTATAATTTGGTCTGGCAGTCAGTAGCTTTTTCTGTTTTCTGTTATGTGAGGTGAAACTATATTAAAAAAGCAACGTTGTGATATTTATGATACCAGAGTAAGATAAGGAATCACTCATTCCAGTGGCTTGCTAAAAAATTTTTAATAGGGGCACCTGGGTGGCTCAGTCAGTTAAGCATCTGCCTTCAGCTCAGGTCATGATCTTGGGGTCCTGGGATTGTGTCCCACGTTGGACTCTGTTCAGCGGCAATTTTGCTTCTCCCTCTTCCTCTTACCTCTTACCTCTGTGGTCTCTCTCTCTCTCTCTCTCATGCTCTCTCACTCTCTCTCTAATATATAAATAAAATCTTTAAAAATTTTTAATACTTGTATTTTCAGTATAGTTCAATATTTCAGCATAGACTATATGTCCCCTAATGTTCCTCCTATCCCTAGAATTTTAACATTTATCCTAAATGCAGCAAGAATATCCTGAATTATTGAGATAGAAGTTCTCTGTCCTAAGGGTAGACCAACAGGGCTGCCAATGACTCTGTTGCATTGCTCTGAAAGGTCATCATTACAGAACAGAATTGTTCCATCAACAGTAGTGCTGCTGACTGCTCCTCTCAGTGAATTCCTGCCTCACATTATCTACTCTGCCAGCCCCCTTTATTTCCAAGTGCTCCTATAGCACTAGCCCCTGCTCTTGTAAAACCACCATCCTGAAATGATAGCTTATGTCAATGGCTGAACTGGATTATCCGCTCTGGAAGGTTCTCTGTAAGCAGAACAGCTGGGTGGTAAAGCGGACGTTTGGCATCAACTGAGTTTTATTCCCACAGTGCATCATGGTTCCAGACAAAAGTGAGAAAGAACAAAATTGGCAGTTGGCCTTCACTCACCTGCCGGAGCTTGGTTCCTACCATAGAGGCACTGCTGTCGAGCACAAATACCACATTCTTGGGCAAAGGGGGTAGGTCTTTGGGGGCAAAGTAGTGCACAAAGTAGCCATTTAGAACCTGGTGGAGGGAAGAGAAAGTAAAAACGGTAGTGCCTGGAATAGGCAGAAAAACTACCCAAGATGGACAGTCTGTACAACTTCCACAATTCAGAGCACGAAGCACATGAAACGGACTTCATAAAGATAAAATCATCCCTTTAAAATTTATCGCCTATGCTGACTAATTCGATTTTAATTATCCATCCGCTATGGCCCTTGTCACTTGGAATTCCTGCTTCCTTCAATATGTGGTTTTAACAAGTTGAGATGTCAAAGCCGTCTACATTCTGGGTGCATGCTAATGCATTTTAATATTCCCACCCTGTCTCTGGAGCAATAAAACCTAAAGGGAAATGAGCCGTGGACCAAGCTCTCTTAATTAAAATTGAAGATGAACTAAAACTCTAACTTCATCTAAAACACCGCAGGGAAAATTACATTACAGATTTCATTTGCTCTCCAGATTACTGAAGCAGAAAATAGGAAGGGAACACCCTAGTCCCCTTGGAGACATATTTTAAGTTAAAATAAATTTCTAGGAACCAGAATGTTCTCCCTCCCTCAGATAAGAACTAGAATCCCTCATTCTGAGTCTAACTAAAAGTATCAAGCAACTGACACAAAGTGCCAACAACAAGCCCATTACCTGAATGTCCCCAATGCTCTGCTCCCTGTTGACATCGTATCTAATGATGAAATCTCCCAAAACACCATTCTGAGCAATCCGGGCTTGCTGGACCACACTAGGCTTAAAAGTCACTTTGGCAAAAGTGTCATTTTGGTTGATAACAGTAGAAGGAGGTGGCCCAGAATCATCTGCAAGCAAGATATAAACAGAATTCATATCGATATTTTCTGGAAAAGAAGCAGAGATGTTTTGCATGGACACGGGGCTAGATTTGACTTTATTGCAGGTTTATACGCATATGAACTTCACAGACTTCACACTGATAGTACATCCCAGCGCAAGAGATGTTACAGATTTCACCTTTATACCTTCTTTTTCACCTTTCATGTAACTTTTTTAAACACACAAAAGTAGAGAGAATAGTAAAATGAACCCCCATGTACATCTCACTCAACTGAACGATTATCAATCTCTTACAACCTTCTGTATCTGTTTTTATGAATCCCCTCACGGTATCTTGCTAGAGTGTTTGAGAGCAAATCCCAGATCTCGTATTTCATCCATAGATACTTCAGTAGGTATCTCCAACTATAAGAACGTTTTTCCACATAAGCACAAAACCATCATCACAAGTTACAAAACCAAGGCTCGGTGCCATCTTATCCCCAAACATACTCAGTCTGCACTGAATTTCCCCCGATTCTTTAGAATGTGTCTCAATATGACGGATTCCTTCAAATCCAGATCAAAAAAGACCACACAGCACATCAGGTTTATGTTTCTTAAATCTCTTTTAATCTACAGGTGTTTCTTCTAATGTTACATAAACATGTTGTAAAACTCTGGTTATTTGTCCTATGGAATTTCTTACATGCTGCATTTTGTGACTGTTTTGTCTTATCTTTTAACTTGCTCCTCAATTCCCCTGGTTTCCATCCTTGGCTCAAACTGTAACATCTGGGGGAACTAGAAAAAAATAGCGATATCCAAGCAAGAGCTCATTTAATTGGTCTGGGGGAGAGCCTGAGTATCAAAGCTTTAAAAATCCCCCATGTGAGTCAAATGTGCAGTTGATGTTGGGAAACACATCTCCATCTTCTCTACTTCCCTGTGTTCTGGGAGGAAAGTTAGACGCTTGCTTAGACACAGGTCCATACCACTGACAAGAACACTTCACAGGTGATGAATGATGCTGACTGCTTACCACTTTTCTACGTCAGAAGCACACAGTGTCTACTTGTCTGTTTCAGCTGTAGTAAAAAAAAGATGGCGGGCTCCCATGTTGTCAATCCAATCACCTGTTATAAAGCTCCTCATCGATCTCTCACTTCATTGTTTTACCAGACACCGATGATGTTTGTCTGGATCTACTAATTCATTAGCGTTGCGAAAGTGTGGTGTCTAATTCTTGTCACCCCTTTCCTGTGGAAATCTTCCAGAAGAAACACCTCCCACCACCAAGCATTTGGTTGCCCTAGCAGCCTGTTTGTCCAGAAAGGTTATGGCTCTTTAAACAAACAAACAAATAAACTGCTCCCAAAGTTTCTCCCAGCATAAATCCTCCCTCAAATGCAAATTAGAATTGCAGAAAGATAAATCCATAAGTGGATTTTATATGATTTAAGAAAAACTAGTGGGATGAAAGATTCAGTGCAGCATAGCCCATGTTTTACTCCTGACCTTCATTTCCTGTTAAGATACACAATTACCTCACAGACTACCCACCTTTACAAATCCAAACACTACCATGTCTACATACTCAACAACAGAAATTCAAATTTTTTAGCTCTGCATGCACCAAGAAGAATATAAAAATAGAATGGAGGATACATAAATATCAGTATATGTGGAAACTTTATCCAGATACTGAATCAAAGCCAGGCTTAAAACTGCTGCAAAGCATCTGATCATTTTTTTAAATCTCTTCAAGTTGACACCATACAAAGAGTGAGCTGACCAACAATCTTCCATACCTAATTAGCAAAATAAAATAGGAAACAAGGCATAATTTCCCTGTGGTAATTTGTATGTAAGAATAAACTTTATCTTGCTAAGGGTTTATTAGACATTAAAATCAGAGGAAGTTTAAACATTTCCTTCAACAGAACAGACAATTATTTTTCAAAGACAATTTAGGTGTAACCTTAACAGGAACCACAGGGCAGAGCTGATTCTATTATTTTCACCCATGGAGGGCAGAGGTTTCAGGAGTGAAGAGAAAGCCAGCAATTAGGAAATCTTATTTTTACTGAAGACAGTTGTATGAAAGATAACATGTTTCCAACAGATCTGCCCATCTGAAGAAGGAGCTGGAAAATCTCAATGGCACGGTGACAAATGGCGCCCTCCAGCTCACCAGCATGGTCGACTGCACCAAAGAACCACTACAGAGAGGAAGCGTGAAAGGCTAAAAATGGAAAAGTCTTTGAAATAGAAGGACCATGTATGCTCTTCAGGGTCAGCCTCTCCTTGGTGATTACTGGTAAACATGGCTGAGAACTTGGAATCATGAATGAACAGAAGGACCTAAGTTCAATACTGTCTCAACCACTCATTACCTGTGAGACTTTGGGCAAGTTATCAAGCTTTGGTTATCTCATCTGCAAAATGGGCTAACGGTCTACCAAACTCATGCTATTGAAAAGATCAAGTGATGTCATGGACCAAAGTCCCTCCTTATCCCCACACCTTTATCCCCAACCTTATCCCTAGATACACTATGCATTTTTTAATACATTCACGTGTATTCAAAGCTTAAATATAAGTTAGACACAGTAAGTGATTAAAAATACTAATAATAAAATACAATGATCAGAACATACTACAATAGGAGTCACATGAATGTGGTCTCTCTCTCAAACCATCTTCCTATGCCGTCCTCACCCTTCTTGGGATGACGTGAGAGGATAAAATGGCTACGTGCTGGATGAAGGGAGTTAAGGGAGGTAGGCGCTGTGACATAGCGCGAAGCTACAACTGCCTCCAGAGCGGGCAACATCTGCTTCCAGGACTGTGGGTGACCAGGGATAACAGTGACTGAGGGACATGAGACCATATAGGTAAGGGGGAACGACTGTACTTAAGCCATTCTGATTCATGCCAGCGGATGTTACTATAAACCTTAAAAATATACAAAATAGTAAACGGGCCAGGGAATTAAATATAAGACAATACAACAGATCGAAATTGGGATACTACGTCCAGTGAAAAGGAAAGAATTCCTGCTATTTAGACAGCGTCTCACAGTCATTTTGAGCGGGCACATAGATACAGAAGAGAATACTCTATGCTTCCATTTATATACAGCTCAGCAGCAAGCACGACTGGTCCACGCAGAAAAATGGTGAAGAATGGTAGCCACTGCTAGGGGGGTGAGTACCTACTGGGAAAGAGTATGGGAGTTCTTTGGGTTTGTGAAAATACTCCTTATCTTGGCCTGGAAGTAGTTGTCTGGGTGTACACACAGGTGAAAATTCATCAAGCTGTAAAAATGAGATATATACACTTTATTCACATGTACCCCAATTTTTAAAAAATCTAAACTTGCTGGGATCTGGATGGAGAACAGAACAAGCAGGCATCCCCTAGCATGTAACGGACATTACTTGCCAGAGAGAGTCTATCTTTTCTTTTCCTTAGGATACGTCTCTTAGTGTGGGCATTTACATGGGGATTAGGTGTATTCAGAGTAATTCCAGCTGGCAGAATTAGGACCAGGGTAAGGTTACTGGGAAGCACTCTTTGTTCAGCCTCAGTAAGCTCTAGGGAAGATGTGCTGTGGGCACAGGTGGCAGTCACAACCCATTTCACTGGAAGTGTTCAAGCAAACCCTGGATGCTTCGATCCCTGTGGGGGTGGAGCAGAGCACCCCTCATGCCATGGTCTGGGACCTGTGTCCCAGATGTCCTGTGGGCACATGCAGCAGCAGCATCTGTGAACTTGCTAGAAACACAAATTCTTGGGCCCACTCACAAACTCTGGAAGGGGGGACCCAGAAAGCTATATTTTAATAAGCCTTCCATATCACTAGGTTATCTCCAACTTTCAAAGTCTACATTAGATTGACCCTCTTCACACTATCAGCATGTACCTATTCTTCCTTGTTCCAGATCTCTCTCATTGAAATGCTCTTTACGACTCCCCTGAATTAATACCATTCATGGTTGAGTGAAAGCACTGAGGATTAAAAAGTATAATTTCTCTCTTCATAATTCATTTGACTGGGCTCTTTGATATAAGCCATGAGAAAGATAGTGTATTATTATTTTGGTTTCCTGTTGACCTCTGATGTTTGCTAGTTCATGATGAAAATTCATGAGATTCCTCTAAATGGGCTTATTTTCTATGCCCAAAGAGTGGGTTGATTCCCACTTTGGTTAAACAGCAAGAAGCCTGACTTCCACCCATTAAGTATCAGACTGTCAATGTGACCCAATGAATTTTCCACTGACTATCACAAAAAAAAAAAAAAAAAAAAAAAAAAAAAAAAGTTTGCTGGGAAAAATTCCAGAGAAATAACTCTAGAAAATAAAATCCTCTTTTTACTAGAGAAGGAAAAAAATCTTTTCATCCACGAGGTTAATCTAGGCTGCCCCAGAGTTGCTGACCAACATCCCAAACCAGAATAATACTGTTTACTTTTTCCTTATGTGAATCGTGGCTCATACAGCTGACAGCCACAAAACAGCTCATGAGCACAATGAACTTGATTCGCAGGCCCTCCACTCTCACAGCATGTGTTCTAAACATAATGAAGAGGGCAAGTGAAGAGGCTGGGAGCAGACCAAGAGTGAGACTCTGACCTACTTTTCTAATGAGAGCACACATGTCTCTTCCTGCTCTTGGCTTGCTCTCGTCCATGCCCGCTTGGTTAGGGAAAGGAGTGCAGTGCCGTGATTGCTCTGAATTGGAGGCGCGAATCTCATGTTATTTCCCCGTTTTGATGCAAACATCCAGGCTCATGTTCAAGATAACCTTCTGTGGTCCATCAGGGCCTCAAGCGCGTCCCTGGGAAGGTTCGCTAACCTCTCCTTCTCCACCCACTCTTCCCTGCTCCTCAGGTCACCAGCATCCTCCGGATACGCTCTTTCTGTCTAGAGTCTAGTATTTTTGAACAAGAAGATAGGAGTTATTTTAGAAGGTGCATAATACCAAAGAAAGTGGGCTCTAAGATTTGGCAGACTCAAAA